AGAAAGAAAGAAAGAAAGAAAGAAAGAAAGAAAGAAAGAAAGAAAGAAAGGAGGGAGGGAGGGAGGGAGGGAGGGAGGGTCCTTAAGAAGTATTTGGAAGTAGCAGTATTGATGTGTCTTCTGATTACGTGGAAAGCTGCCCGGTGAATCTGGACTCCCAGAAGCAGCTGCCGGAGGAGCTTGGGGGTGGGCGGCCCGCTGAACAGCAGGGGCAGGTCCTCTCCTCTGCAGGGGTGCCCACCCGCCCACCCCAGACAAGGGCTTAGCGTCAGTCTGGAGGAGGCTGCTCTGTGGCCCCTCCACTCGAGAGGCCATGCAGATAAAGATAAGATGCACCGGGCGTGATGGCGCACACCCGTAATCGCAGCACTCAGGAGGCTGAGGCAGAAGGATCGTTGCCAGTTCAAGGCTAGCCTGGGCTACAAAGTGAGCTCAAGGCCAGCCTGAAGGACCCTGTCTCAAAAAGACAAAAAAAAAAAAGGGTGAGATGAATGGCTGGGTAATGGGTGAAGGGTGGATGGACGGATGGATGGATGGATGATGAATGGGTGGTGGATGGGGGGTGGGTAGGTGGATGGATGATAGTGGGTGGGGGATGGGGGGGGGGTGGGGTAGAGAGAGCCCTTTAGCGACAGGGACTGAGCCTCACTGGAAGGGGCTCTGGGGCCCTTCCTGCCGAGGGCATCAGCCCGCAAAGGTCACGAGTGGACCCTGCATCCTCTGGGACAGAGTGATCCCCTGTGGATCCACTCCTGCTGTCTGAGCCATCGTGGGTGTGGAGTTTGAGCCTCCCGGGGCGCAGGGCTCTGGCGGCAGGCTGGGTCCCTGCCCACCTCGCACACTGCAGTGCCCACTGGGCCACTCTGGTCCCGCACCAAGGAGGGCAGCGCCCTGTCCCCGGCCGCGGGCACCGTGTCATGGGGCCCCATTTCCCAGCACACAGAGGCGACATGGGCTCCGCTGGGTGAGGCTTCTGCTGGTGACGCCAGTGACGTCCTGACGCTAACTCCTGGGTCTTTGAGGGACACCCTGATTGGAGGTGACTCAGCCTCCCCACAGCCCAGCTTGGGGAGGCTGCATGCTGGTCCTGAGCCCGGCCTTTCACCTGTGAAGCCCAGCCTTCTATCTTCCTGAATGGGGCAAAAAAAAGTTACCATGGGGCCGGGGATGTAGCTCAGTGCACACGCGCCTGCCTCGCAAGTACAAGGTCCTGATTTCGTTCCCTGGTGCCGCAAAAAAAAAAAAGTCACCAGTCCCAGCCCTAGCCCCGGCCCCAGCCCCAGCCCCAGCGGCACGGAACTCGCTCTCGCCCTGTGTCCCCCTGCCCCCAGCGCCACTTCCTCAGCCCCTCGCTGCTCCTGACCCGCGCCGCGAGCACAATGGAGGCAGCTGTCCGTGCTGTTGTCCTTCCGTCTTTGTTTTGTTGTTGACACAGGGTCTCGCTGCACAGTCCAGGCTGGCCTCGAACTCACTATGGGACCCAGGCCGGCCTTGAACGCAGTGATCCTCCTGCCTCAGCCTCCTGAGTGCAGCCTCCCTGCAGATGGTAGTTTATTGCTCCAGGCCTCGGGCCCTGGTCACTTGAGACTTAGGTGTTGGGCAGCGTGCAGGAAGGACCCATGAAGAGGACACGCGTTCTGCTCCCAACCCTGCAGGACAAGTTAGGAGCACGTGGCCTCGGCCCGGCCCACACCCAGGACGTGGGGATGGGACTGGATACATGGGTGGCCGCAGCCCTGCAGGGAGGGCAGGACACAGGGACCTGCCCCCGCCCTACTCCCTGCCGAGCCCTTTGTCCAGAAGGGACCAGTCCACGGGAGCCCAGCCCCCCAGGGACAGAGGTGGCGAGGTCTGTGCCGCTGCCTGAAGCCCCTAGGGCTCCCCAGCCTCTGCGGAAAGGAAGGGCTCGGTGTTCCTCTGGGGCAGATGCCCTCGGGCTCAGGCACCTCGCCAGGCAGGAGTCAGAGTGCAGGTCCCTGAAAGCCCTGTCCGCACTGCTGACCACCACCCGCAGGAGAGAGACCTGGAGTCCAGGCCGTTCCCCAGGGACCTCAGCTAGGGGACCCCAAGCGGCTGCTTGGGCCCAGGAGCTGTCACAGTGGGAAGAAGCAAAGGGGAGAGCCAGGCAACCAAATACATGGAGTGGGCCGGCCCTGGGGGTGCACATCTGTCCTCCTAGTGCTAGGGAGGCTGAGGCAGTAGGATTGCTGCTAGTTCAGGGCCTGCCTGGATGACACAGCAAGATTCTGTCTCAAAAAACTACACCAAACCCAAGCAAGATAATTTCAAGGGAATACACACAAAATTGTCTGTGCACATGCAGAAACACACAGACGCACCCTGCAGTGGTGCGCACGGTGTGAGCTGTGGAGAACGGACTGACCGACGCGTGTTCATGTGCAGGGCTGGGGACAGGAGCCCAGGGAACCTGGCAGCGCTCTTCCACTGGCCTCAAGCCCTGCTGGGTGCGGGGAAGTTAAACCACCCCACTTTTCTGTGCCTGTGTCTCTCCTGGCTTCTGCACGGTGACCTCGTGTGACCCACCTGACAACAGGAAGATGTTTAAGCAGAAAGGCCAAGGCCGAGTGAGAGCTGAGCACTGGCCCTGACCATGCTGCAGGAAAAGCAGAAAGCACACACGGAGGCCGATGTCCGGGCACCACACTCATCCAGCCAAGCCAACAGCAGCCAGGAGCTGGGCGGCACATTGTCCTGGCTCACAGAGGGGGAGGGAGGCATGGAGAAGCCAAGTGACTTGTGCACATGGAGAGCTCAGGTCACTGCAGGGCCGACCCAGCCGCCTGCGCCGCTGCTTCCCACTGGCATCCTCTGCTGAGCCTGCGGGCTGCTGTCCCGGTCTTGTGGCGACAGTGGCCGTGTGGGGCCCATCACCGGCCCATTCGCAGCATTCCTGCTTGCCCGGTGTCACGTTTCCACCACAACCTAGTGCAGACTTTTTGTCTGAGACAGGGTCTTACTACATAGCCCAGACTGGCCTTGAATTCACAGCGATCCTCCTGCCTCAGCTTCCTGGGATTGTAAGTGTGCACCACCATTCCTGGCTTTAAATTTTTTTTCCATTCATTTATTTATTGTGGTGCCGAACATTGAACCCAAGGAGCGCTGAGCCCCAGCTCCAGCCCTCTGTATGTTAGTTTGCGACGAGGGCTTGCTGAGTTTGCTAGGCTGGGTTTGAACCTGCGCCTCACACCCAGATGGGCTCACCCAGCTGTTGTCAGCAGCAGCTGACCTGTCGGGCAGTGAGGCTCCTAGGGGGATGCTCACACTTTCCGTTATGCGATTCTATCAAGTTCAGTTTACCACCTGGGCTGGCGGTCACTTTTCTATTAAAAAAAAGAAAAATTAAAGCCAGGCATGGTGGCACACATCTCAGCACTGGGAAGGCTGAAGCAGGAGGATTGCTGAAAGTTTGAGGCCAGCCTGGGCTACACAGGGAGACCCTGGTTCAAACAGAAAAAGAAAAGGACCCTGGGCTGAGCCCTGTCCCGCTTTCTCGCTCCCAGGCTCCGCAGAACGACCAACAGGCTCCTGGCCTCCTCGTGCTGTAGCAGCAACATCTTGGGCTCGGTGAACGTGTGCGGCTTCGAGCCCGACCAGGTGAAGGTGCGCGTGAAGGACGGCAAGGTGTGCGTGTCAGCCGAGCGCGAGAACAGGTACGACTGTCTGGGCTCCAAGAAGTACAGCTACATGAACATCTGCAAGGAGTTCAGCCTGCCGCCCTGCGTGGACGAGAAGGACGTCACCTACTCCTACGGGCTGGGCAGCTGTGTGAAGATCGAGTCCCCCTGCTTTCCCTGCACGTCGCCTTGTAGCCCCTGCAACCCCTGCAACCCCTGCAACCCCTGCAGCCCCTGCAGCCCCTGCAGCCCGTGCGACCCCTGCAGCCCCTGCTACCCCTGTGGCAGCCGCTTCTCCTGTAGGAAGATGATCCTGTAGACAGCAGCTCCAGCAGCCGGCCTCCCCCGCCCGCCTGCCCAGGCCCAGGCACGTAGGACAGTAGGATAGTGAATACAAGCTTGCAACCTGCGTGCGCCTCGTCCTTTGCACGACACCTGCGGGGCAGCCGGAGAGGTGACTCAGCAGTGGTGGAAGCCAACCTCTGCCTCCCCGTCCCGTCTCCAGGGACCGCCCTGTCCCACTGCAGGAGGCCACCCAGGTCTGTCACACCAACGGGCGGGGGGAGGGCAAAGCCAGCAGGGTCAGAGTGCTTTCCGAGGCTGCCCACGAGGAGCATGGACAGGCTGTGCCCTGACTATGGTGAGGCTGGGATTTTACAGGGGAAACCGGCCAAGTTCCAAGTCCCAGCGTGGCAGCACACACACGAGTTATCCCAGTACTCAGGAGGCTGAAGCAGGAGGATCACAGTGAGTTTGAGGCCAGCCTGGGTTACATAGTGAGACCCTGTCTCAAAAACAACAAAACAAGACACAGAAAGAATACAGGGCGGGGCCCAAGCACAGACCCATGGCCAGGTTTTTCTTTTTTTTTGGTACTGGGAATCGAACTCAGGACCTTGCGCTTGCCAGGCAGTCGCTTGTACCACTGAGCTATATCCCCAGCCCATGACCCCTGGCCAGATGGCCACACACCTGCTGCACCTGACGTTCCTGGGACGTGGAGGCTGGGGTTCTGGTTCACGGCAGCTGGCTGCACAGCTTTCTTGGGAGCCACGCACCTGCCTCCTGCTCGCGTTCCTGACCCTGGTCTCAGGACTGAAGCTGAGTCCAAAGTCTGGGAGTGGAAAAGCCCAACTTTCCCCTCGACGGCGTGGGCGGTGGGACCCGAGACCCCGGGCTGAGCCGCAGCCGCCTCACAGCTGGCAGACGTGGGACGGTGTGGAGGTGGAGGCGGCAGGAGGGGAGCGGATGCTCAGAGGGGATGGGGCCCTTCTGTCTCAGGGTCCTCTTCGCCTGTCAGCGCTGTGGGTCAGAGCCGCGGTGCGTGGGACTCACCCGGCAAGCTGTGGAAATACAGGTGCTGGGCATGGGGTGCCCTTGCTGAGGGCTTGGGTAAAAACTTTTTTTTAAGGTGGTCTCACTATGTAGCCCAGGTTGGCCTCAAACTCACAGGGATCTTCCTGCCTCAGCCTCCATGAGTGCTGGGATGACAGACGTGTGCCACCATACCTGGCCAAGAAAAAATTTTTTAAAGAAAAAATTACCAGTGCTCGGTCCCATCTGCAGAGATTCTGATGTCCCAGACTTGAGAGACAGCCCTCTCCAGAAGGTTCTCAAAACCTCCCCCAGGTAGGGCAAGCCCAAGCTGAGAGGGAGGGGTTTGGGCAGATCTTCAAGCTCTCTCAACGTCTTCTTTATTTTTTATTTTATGTTTGGCAGTTGTCTTGGTTACTTTTCTCTTGTTGCTGAGAAAAAATACCTGATGCCCAAAATTAAAGAAGGAAAGGTTTATTTAGCTCACAGTTGGTGGAGGTTTCGGTCCATACTCAGCTGGCTCCAAGGCAGGGGGGCATGACACAGGGGCAACGCTTCAAGATAGCAGAAGACAGCAAAAGCAGCAAGAGCAAGAAGTGGGCAGAACAAGCCTCTTTTCCTCCCTTCTGTTGTAAGCAGGCTCCCTCCCCAGGGCGGTGTAGCACTCACACCTTCTCCCTGCCCTCCTCTTGCACAGGATGAGGGTGTTTACAAAGTGAGCACCCTGCCCCCCTGCTAAGCCACTTAAACTTCTAAACTTCTCAATGTATCAAGCATTAGAGTGATGTGGGACTTTAGTCCAAGGCCCTTGCATTGAGCTACATCCCCAGTCCTTTTTTACTTTTTTATTTTGAAGTAAGGTCTTGCTAAGTCACTAATTTGCCCAGGCTAGGCTCAAATTTAACATCCTCCTGCCTCAGCCTCCCAGAGTGAGCCCCAGGGCGGGTGGTATCCCTGTTGCATACCTCTCAACGCCAGAGTCAGCGTGTGGGTGGGGGAGCTGGCCAGAGGTAGTGTAGGGCCGGCCTGGCCTGAGGCCTTGGCCGAGGTCCCCAGCCGGGCTGAGCATGGAGCACCTGCCCGTGGATGGGGAGAGGCAGCTGCTGTGTGCTGCGTCGTCGCTTGGTTGGATGGAGTCCAGGTGGGACGGCTTGCCAGGGCCTTGAATGCAGTCCGCAGGGCCGGGCGGAGGATCCTTCAAGGAGCAGGAGTCCGTTAGCCCGGCTGGCTGACGGTGGCATCTGGGCTGCTTTCGAGAGCAGAGAGCTGCCAGGTGTGGTGGCACACGCCTATAATCCCAGCACTCTGGAGGCTGAGGCAGGAGTATCCTTGCAAGTTTGAGACCAGCCTGGGCTACAAAGTGAGCTCGCAGCCAGCCTGAACTGCATATGGAGACTCTGTCTCAAAAAGCCAAAAACAAAAACAGTTTTATTTAATGAGTTGTTCATGTCCTCAGAACCAGTGGGGGACTAAGTAAAAGTTTCTAAACTATCTCAGCCAGGCCTGGTGGTGCACATCTGTGATCCTAGCACTTAGGAGGCTGAGGTAGGAGGATCGTTGCAAGTTCGAGGCCCACCTGGGCCACATAAGGAGACTCTACATAAACAAAAAACAAAGCAAACCAAAACAGCAACAATGAAACACAACTTCCGGGGCTGGGGTGTGGTCAAGTACAGGTATGCGCTCCCTGGAAACTCATCCCTCTAAAGGAACGAAAACACAGATTTACTCTCCCTACCTAGAAATTCCCTTTTCTGTCTCCCTCGCCTCTGCCTTCTCTCCCACACACGCTGCCGCCTACAGAGGTCAAGCACTCTGACACAGCGTGTGGCTCAGGACTTCACGCTCCAACTTACATACAGGGAGTTTGATCCTGAAGCCAGAGGACTGGGCCCGTTGGATGGTGCCCGGGACCCACGAACCCAGGAGTGTGGGGCCTTTGGGCAGGGCACACTTCCCAGCAAGGCCACGGGGTCGCGTGACTGATCACACTGGGAAGAAACCCGGAAGCAGTGGCTGCAGGCCCGGGATTCCGGGTGGCACTGTCACACCAGCCCCCTGGGTGCCGTTCCTGGAACTCAGGCGGTGGCTGGGCGGCACCTCCACTCCGCAGCCCTAGTCAGGGGGGGCAGGAGCTCGAAGGTGTAGGAGACACAGTGGCTCCTAGCTGCACTTTTGGGGACCTGCTCCGCTTCTCCCCTGCGGCCTCAGGGGTCAGCGGCTCAGGGCTGTCTTTTCTCCCAGGCGCAATTCCACCCAGCGCCTTGACCCCCCAATCTCTGCAGCAGCTTCGCGGTAGGAAAGCAGCCCCGAGGGGCCTTGTGGGGTGGCTGCTCCTGCCCGTGCGGCCCACCCCGTCCCGGCCTTGGCCTCCCCCTTGCGGGCGGCCGGGCCTTGCTTTTTCCTCTAATCCAGCCCGCTCGGTCGAGCCTCTCAACCTCCACATATTTTCACCCTCAAACACAGCAGCCTCTCAGCTCCGGGCTGCAGCGCCTCTCTCCTGAGGACCTGCATGGCGTCCATTCCCGACAGCCACAGCGGCAAGACTGGGTCTCAGCCGCTATCTTGGGACCCTCGATTGTGCCTCCTTGTACATCCCTCCCACCCAACACACACGCGCGCACACACATATGCACACTCTGCTCTCGATTTGGAGGGACGCATAGCTGCCAGCGGGGACCCTGGGCCCAGGCTGAGCCCCTCTCCGGGATCTTCCCCTCCTCCTCGCACTGACCTGCCGGAGTGAACAAAATTGCACAGGGCATGGTATGTCTGACCCCAACACATTCCTTTCAAATCAGATTGGGCTGGGTATGGTGGCGCATGCCCATCCTCCCAGCACCCAGTAGGCTGAGGCAGGAGGATCACCACAGTGGCCTTCAGCCCAGCGCACGTCCTGGTAACACTTTCCACAGCCCAGGTGGGTCCTAAGCTGCCAGCACTGGGAGACTCCAGGCCCAGGCCACGGGAGGGGGTGACGCAGAGGCATGTGTCACCTCTGGGCACAGCCAAGCACCTTTTCTGCCGCAGATCGAAATCCTCCTTCCGAAAAGCACCCTGCTGGCCGCTCTGCAGTCAGAGGCTACGTACTCATATCTGCATGCCAGGACCGAAGCCAGGCCCTCATGCTGCTCAGTACGAGCTCACACTCCAAGCTCAAAGGTTTGCCAAGTTCACACCACTGAGGCAGGAAGACCGCAAGCCCAGATCCAGCCTGGACAATGCAGCAACTTAACAAGACCTGGGCTCCGGTAATGGTTTGGGGCTTATTGTACAAGGGGAAACAATATAACACAGGACACATAGTTTATAAGATTATTTATAACAGTCACCCAAAGAATCACACACAAGAGAGTGCAGGAAACCTGTCCACACACTAGAGACCAAAGAATCCGGCTGTGGGCCTGGATCCCACGATAATGTCCTGCATGAGTCCAGCTGAAGACCTAGAGCTCATGGCAATGCCTCCCCCGAGTCCAGCTGGAGGCCCAGAGTCCATGACAACATCTCATGCAGGCCTGTTTCATGGATCTGTGCTGGGAAGGCCCAAAGGTCAGTGGTGGAAGCTGGAAAGTCTGTGGCAGCGGGATGAAGGATCTGTGCCAGCAGGCTGAGGGATCGGCACTGGAGCCAGGAAGTGATGTGCAAAGTAAAAACCAGAGCTCCCCCGAAAAGTACCACAGCCATCCTCAGCGACAGGGAGGTCCCGAGCTCCTCTGATGATCAGGACAGCCGAGTTCCCATCAGGAAAGCCAGTGTGACAAGCTTCTCCAGGACACCGGCAGTGCACCATCTTCCCCTCCGGAGCCAGGAATCCACGCTCAGAGTGAGGACCAGAGCTCCCACAAGTGAATGGAAGCCATTCTCAGCGACAACAAGGTCGCGAGCTCCTTGGAGGATGAAAACAGCCAAGTTCATCAGAAAAGCCAGCATGACAAGCTCCTCCAAAACAACCAACAGCTCCTTACAGCTCCCACCAGCTCCAACAGCTTTTCTCAGCTCCCAACAGCCTCACTTCTCCTTCTCCAGTTCTGCTCTTAGCTGCTGGCAACAGTCCCCAGGTGGGCTCCCACACCCAGCACCAGGCCGACTCAG